AAGGATGAGGAAGTGATTAAATTAGACCTTTATTGTCATCGTACAGAACACAATGAAATTACAGGTCAGAACACCCAGAAAAAGACAGAACATAACAAACATGAACATAAGATGAAGGGATAAGGAAGGGATGAAGAGATGAGGAAGTAATTAAAGGATGAGGAAAGGGATGGAGGGATGTAGGAAGGAATGAAAGGGTGGAGGAAGTGATGAAGGAATGAAGAGTTGTATCTAGGAAATAATGAAGGGATGTTGGAAAGGATGAAGGGATGAAAAGATGTAGGAAGGGGAGAGGAAGGGATTAAAAGATGAGGGAAGGGATGAAGGGATGTAGGAAGGCAGGAAGCTATGGAGGAAGGGATGAAGGGATGAGAGGATGAGGAAGTGATGAAGGGATAATGAAGGGATGAAGGGATGTTGGAAAGGATCAAGGGATGAAGGGATGTAGGAAGGAATGAAAGAATGTAGCGGTGTAGGAAGGCATGAAGCTATGGAGGATGGGATGAAGGGATGAAAGGATGCGGAAGTAATGAAAGGATAAGGAAGGGATGTAGGAATGAGGAAGGTATAATGAAATAAACAGATGGAGGAGGGGGAAGTGTGATGCAGAGGTGCCTACGTCGGGTGAAAGGGGAGGGTGGGTGTCGGTGAGAGGCTGGTCCACCCTGTGCAGCTTTCAGCTCCAGCTCTCCTGAAGGCTGGCCACAAGCTTTAGGAGTGTTAACAGGGATTTTTGACCATTCTTCCAGAAGCACAGCTGTGAGGTCACACACTGACGATGCACAGAAGCTCTGGCTCTCAGTCTCTGCTCTAACTCATCCTAAAGTGTTACAGGTTGAGATCAGGACTCTGTGCAGGCCAGTCCAGTTCCTCCACGCCAGACTCTGACATCCATATGGATCTTGATTTGTGCACTGGTGCACAGTCATTTGGGTGACTGAGCAAATACTTTTAGTGTGCATATAATTACCTGACGTCATATTTAAAACACCAGGTAAGAAATATAGATGTGAGATGAGTTTGTGTAGACGACGAGTGATTAGAAGGGTCCTGGTCCTGCTCCCAAACTCCAGCTAACTAACTTAATTTTATAAATTTGGAGATTAAGATGATTTCAAAACTGACAGGAATTCTTTACAACCAACTAAATGGTTTTTTTTTCTTATAATTCCATCTCAAACTGCACCAAATGTTTCCTCATTCTGAACATAAAAGAAGACAGAGCATAGTTTTAAACTGATTTATTCAAACTCCATGAGAGCAGGTTCAGCTGCTTTTAGGCTTATTTTTTTTCTGCAGCCTCCTTTAATTTGAAGTGTTAGATATATTGAAGACATTAAGTAAATGAGTTGTTCTGCAGCTTCAGGTACAGAACGTGCACTCAGGAAACTAGATGAAGACTGACCTAACCCTGGATACTCAACATCACTTTGATTAGGATGAAAACATGCAAAGCAGGCTGTGCTGCCTCCATAAGGTCACAGAATGCTAATTTTACTTTTGCATTGCTAATCAAGTCATCACAACTGGAGCGTGAAAAAGAAAACGGTGTCTCTTTGACACTTCGTTCGGTCTGACTGGCGGTTCGGGTTGACAGGGGAGATCTCACGGTTCCTTCGTGATTTGGTCTGAATGAGAAGCACAGTAATCTCTTCACCACAGGAGGGGGGAACTTTGACTTGTCTGTAAACACATCCTAAATGTCTTGGAGAATATTTAGCTTTTTCAGCTTTGTGTTTAATAACAGCTGATTTATCTGTCATGACCCTGAGGTCATACTTTGAGTTACTGTGTACATATTAATGAATATAATGAAGTTTCAGAGGCTGATCACCCACGCGTTTAGGGAATGAAATGGAGGAGCATGCAAAGATCTAATTAGCAGATATGGAATCATTGCTATCCTCTTGATCTTGTGTTTCTTTTAAATTTCAACTTGACATCCTGAGCTCCTCTGAGCTGCTGGAGGAACAGAGGGCTTGTCCAAAGAGAAATGACCGTGGAAGCAGAAATTAAAAGGAAACTAAGACGCAGCTCTGTGGAGGTGACAGCCTGAAAAGGCAGCACTTATCTAATCAGGGGAGCAGCTGGTTGCTGTCAGAGCCGATAAAAGAAACTGGAGAAAGGGCTCAACTTTCTCATTTAGAGACACGAGTGATAAGAACTCAGCAAAGGCAGCTGCCACACCTGAATCCTCCAGCAGACAAAGAGATCCGGTTTGATTTGATTTGATGTGGAACGAGGCCCAGATTTTTAATATGACTGATAGACAGGTGGAAATAAATTGTGTCACCAAATCATAATTCAGTTTTATTCACTCGATGACATCTTTACACAGAAATAGCTGTGAAATACAGCTCAACCATATATTTTGTTTTAGGGGTTTTTTTATTATTTGATTTATTGGTTAAAAAATATAAACAGAACAAAATCTGTATACAACAGAAAAATCACAAATAAAATGAAAGGCAGCAGAAAGAAGAAAAAATCTCAAATGTGCTCCTTTTTAACATAAAATATGTTAAAATAATAGAGCCTTATTCATAACCTGCAAAATAGAATCAACTCATCAAATTTCAGCAATTTCTATTGATAAAATGTATTTGATTGGTGGCCTGTAATGTTTTAGTAATAATTCTTACAGTTCTTTATATAAAAAAGGATTTGTATTTATTTTACATACTTTCCCCCAAACAGCAATACAATACATTAAGTGTGGAAGTGGTTAAATCATTAAATAACTCTCTTACTTTCTACAGTACTCCAATAGATTTTGCTATTTTTGTTCTTAAATAATTTATGTGAGATTTCCATGTCAGTTTTTCATCAATAATAACACCCAAAAACTTCACCTCACTGACTCTGCAAATCTCAACACCATCAACTCTAAATGGAACATCAACAGTTTTCTTTCTATTACTGGACATTTTGAAATTAGTTTGATCAAATTCAATGATAATTTATTAAGTTGAAACCAAGTTTGTATTTTCACAGATTCTGCCTGAATCATCTCCAACATCCGTTGTATATCTTTACTCAAAAAAAAACGTGGTATCTGCAAATAAAACACATTTAAACAACCCTGACACATTTATTAAGTCATACTTACAAAACAAACAACTTTGGTCCGAGTACAGAACCCTGAGGAACTCCACATGTGATGTTACAGAGTTCGGATCTTACATCATTTATTTAAAATTTCCTATTTTCCAAATAACTAAGGGATGTTCCTGTAATGTTTTACATTCCATGTTTAGAATGGACTTGTCCAGGTGAGAAAACCCACACATGCATGGTGAGAACACGTGAACTTCACTCAGAAAGGCCTGGAGGTGATGAGAGGCGAACCATCACTCTGCACAGTAAAAATGCTGCTTTTTATGGTTAAATGGATAAAAAGAGCCGATGTCTGTGGATTTATGAGACAGCATTTGGTTTATTTTGAAAGGATTTCTCCTGCTCATTGTTCTTCCTTAAAAAATCCATTAAATGAGACAAACAAATGTGTTCTGTCATTGTTACCTGTGACAAAGGGCCAAGCTGATTAATCCAATTTATATATTGTCCTTTGCTTGTTTATTTGTTTGAGTTTTTCTTTTGTCCGAATAATTTACTCATCCACAGTGTGTTGTGTCTGCATCCCCCCC